ATGAAATAAGATTGATATTTGTTCGGAGTAGAATAAGATGATCCTCCCTGTAGTAAGATATGAGACCCAATCCTGAGAGGAGAAAATGAGGTTTATCACTTCATACCCCAACATGGCATATATTGATAATTGTTGAGGTCGATCTGCTTAGGAATAGCAAGGTGAAAGTCTCTCGTCATGTACTGCCTTACGATGGCGAAACATTCATTGTGATTTTCGGAGAAGTAAAGCACACTCTTCAAGTTGGTTTCATCTTAGCTCGTGACAATCAGTATAAATAATAGAGCCAATGTTATACTTAGGTACACGCATAACTGGTAGCTCGTCTTAAGATAGCCTCAAAATTTAGAGCGGTAGAGCATTATTTTCCTTTTTACAAGTATGTCAAACAGGTCAGAGTACTTTTGTGATCCACTTTGAGACTAAACTTAACTTTCACGCACCAACGATATTCTTCCACATTGACTTATAAGAGTGATGAAATTATTACTTTTAATTAAATGAATTTTTCCATAAAAGAATTGTGGCTAGTCAAGGATATTTTTTAGCAGGTATGGTACGTTCCTCCGTCAGCATCCATTTTATAAAATTTTATTTTTTAAAAATATAAAAATATATTTATTATGTATTTTTATTTTCTATTTACCATAAATTAAAGGAGATTAAAATCCACCACCTAAATATATACCAATTATCACTAAATTATACGACAATAAATAATATTTGATGTAAAAAAAAAAAATGGTATCCGTCAGCTTGATGATCCCTTAGAATCCATCGTCCATCATGCCAAATCATTTCTGGGGCCCACCTTCACCGTCACCCCCCTCGCTTTCTGCCCAATCAACATGCCTACCGCCAATTACCAACTTGGATTCTCTCATTCATTTTCCTAAATCTTATTTTTTATTTTACAACAGTCTCTTTTTTTTCTTCTTCTTTATCCTCCCTCACAATTCTTTTGGAATTTAATAATATTTGACAAATTCCCATTTTAATTATATATATTTTACGGGGAAAAAAGTTTGTTAGGTATCATATCAACACCTTCAATAATCTAGTCCCTCCCACCTATCAAATCCCGCACAATTAGGTACAAATGGAGGGAACTAATTCCTTTTTTGTTTGGTACAAATAATATTTTAAGATTGTAGTATATGGAATCTGTGTTTTTAAAAAATATACATATATCTGTGCGTGGTGTTGATCTCTTTTAATTATTATTTTTCTTTGAACTTCAATTTTTTTTTTTCACTCAAATTCTATTACGGTCTCTAAATTATCTTTAATATTTCAAACATTTTTTTAAAAAACAAATTTGAGTTATTGTTAAGAATTAGAATAGGCTTTTATGTCTACTAAGAACTAAAATAAAATATTTAAAAGATGCCAACGAAATGGGAGAATATACCTTTTAACCTACGTTGCTTATATTGATATTCAAAACCTACTAAAAATTAGTCACTCAATTTATAAAAATACCAATCAAATAATTTAATTATATTTCAGCAAAATAATTTCCAAACAATTTTACATCACTGATCACGGCTTGCAGTGGTGCAAATATTTCCACCCTTTTATTTATTTTTTTAGTACAACATGTTAGAAAGGAGATTCAAACTCACAACCTCTTTATTGGAGATATATGTCAATTACTGTTGAACTATGCTCGTTTAATCACCATTTTTTTTATTTGGATTAAAAAAGACATTTACTGGTAGTGGTTTGGTCATAATAGGTGCCACAGAGGACTTATGGAGAGGACCAGAAACCAAACACCAAGTTCCAATTGCGCATCAATTATTTATTTTATGCGTTCTTTTTGCTTTTTTGTTGGTTCTTTTTGGCTCATTCTTTTATTAAAGTAATTTTAACTTTACTCTAAACCTAATTATTCTCGACCGTCACATTATTACATTTATTCAACTAATACATCATTATTTTTATTTTTATAATATGTGTGCACTGTGTTAAGGTCAATGCTTATCGATTTAACCCCACAAAAACTTGTCAATCAAGGCAAGAATTTTTAATTTAAATCTTAATCTCACCACTTCCTCATCAATTAATTTTGATTGTGTGACCTAACATATCTTGGTGCTATAATTAACTTTATTCTTAATCACGGGTGAATTATATGTGACTTCTCCTAAAATTTTGTAACTTTGTAATTTTCATAATAACAATTTCCTCATCTATGGCTTTTGTTATAAACTTTATAGTTATCTTTTATATTCAATAATTGAAAGTAATTTTTGTGGGAGAATTACTAAGTTCTTAAACCATAACTACTTTTCAGGAATAACAAAATCAATTTATTCAAGAGTCCATAACAATTATCAATAAATCTATGCATGGAAAAAAGTTAATTTACAAATGGAAAGGAATTGAAAGGCCTAATTTCATGAATTAAGCAGAGCCTATGAGGAAAATTTCAATAAAATTCCTGATATTTTTCAATATTTTTCATTTCAATGAGATATTTTTCTTTCTCCTCTATTTCTCACTTCAATGAGATAACACATCGGTTTTAAAGTTTTCTCTAATCATGATTCTTAAGAGAAAATCTCGTATTTATAATTAAGACCACCTAGCATGCCTTTCTATTAAATAGCCTAAATAACATATTTTTTGTTTTTTTGTTTTTATTTTTTAAATTTAGGCTTGTTATTGTATTTTTTCAACTTTCTTAAAAATATATTTTAGTTCTCAGCTAAATTTTAAAAAGTAGAAACTATGTTTTGGTCTTCAAAATTTTTCTACATTTAAAAAATATTCATAACAAAATAAAGAAACAAAGTAATACTGTTTAAGCTTAATTTTAAAGAATAGAAAAAAAAAACGAAATAATTTGTTGGATATCCTGTAATGATTAAATTTATCCCAAGTAATTTGACTTAAACTTTTCTATTCATTCAATTTAATCCTATTTAAAATAGTTATCCAAAATTGCTTTTGTATCTGAGGTTAAAGTTAGGTTTAAATTTTAATGGACAGTTAACTGTCTGCTCAAATTCAAAATTATTGATAATTATGAGTCCCATAAAGGGTGCATTGAACTTAAGGATTCGTCGGTGGATCCACCGTACCGTGTGGGTGTCACTTCCCATCATTTAATAATTTCCAAAATTGACAGGAAAAAAAAAAAAAAACTCTAGAAATTATTTATTAAATTGATAATTGAACTATTTGGGCGTTTCCTTCTTAATTCACCAACCGACAAGCTACCCTACACCTAATCCTTAAAACTAGGTCAACTGTGTTACCCTTCAAACTTCACCATATATAATTTACTCCATTTTAATTTTGTGTCCCAAGACTCATTTCGAATTTCTTTTGTTAAATTCTTTTCTTAAGCATCAATTCATTATACAAAAATTAAAGGATTTTCAAATGATTTGGTTACGTTTTTCAGTAGGCATATACTTTAAGTGGATGTGTCAAAATGATGGACAAAGTCCAAACTTTTCCATTCTAAAAGTCGCATTTGTGGGTGAGAAGGAGGATGAGAGGCTATTTATTAATATAACACATACGACCATACTTTAGAGGGCACTCTCCATACCTTCCCCATCTCTTTTCCATTAGTAAATTAAAGAAGGATACGTAATGAATRGGAAGAAATTAGACGGTTTTTTAAAGAGATCTTTTTACATTTATAGAAAGGTATAATATTGTCTACTTTGAACTTAAACCCTCGTAACTTTACTAATAGTTTCACTCCAATAGGTCACATATCAACGATGATGTTGTTCCTAGCAATTGCCATTGATCACTCATATACTAAAAAAAGAGAAACCATCRTATTGTTTTCACAAATATATATTACTTTTTTGTTTGGGTTGTAGATTTATTTTTTCAATGATTAATATATTTATTTATAGAATTAAGTAGGTGTAGWGATGGATTAGTAAGTGAGGGTAGAATAAGTGAAAAATGAGTGAGTAGATGCATATTAGAAATCTTAGTAACCATGTATAAAATAGAAATACTAATAAAAGAAATTATGAAAGTCATAGAGAAGTTGACGAGAAAAAAAAAAGTATTTGATATTAGTACTGCAAATGAAATTCCATATTAGTTAGAGAAGTAGGAGATTTTTGGTATAAAATAACAATAATTATCTCAATTAATATGAGATATTTTGATTAAATTTATGGAAACTTACGTCTAAGGTGGAAATATAGAAAATATACCTTTGAAGAGACAAACCAATGGATTTGACAGCCTTGGAAAAAGATGTACGTGTGAATTTTAAAAATAAGAGAATGAAAAAATGTGTGCACAAACAAGAGTATTATTGAGTGAAAGTGTGAAGTTTACATTAATGATTAAATATTTCACAAGAACCAAAAACATTTGCAATTGGATTCTATCATTAATCCACTTGAAATAATAATAAATGTCGAAAGTAACGGACGATAATTTTATACAATGAACTAGCTATATTGGATGCGGTTCATGTACGGCATATCCGGCATATTACATACTATATACAAAGTATTTTAATTTGTAATTAAAAACTTCCCAATAATGTTTTTTCCATTTTCTTTAGAAAAGGCCGCAAATTATTTTGTTTTAATTATGAATTCTTTCTGTATATCCACACGCCTAATCAAAATCCATTCGCTCTCTCCCTCTCGCAGCATTTACTGAGAGAGGTCAACCGCTGTGGATTAGAAAAAATCAGAATTTTTTTTTATAATTTGGATAATTGATATCTATTTCTCTTGAAAAGTGGTGAGTTCCAATTTTCTACCTCTTATTTAATGTACTAAAAGTTTATTTTCTTAATTTAGATTATGAAAATCTACCTTTATTAATCACTATTGAAAAATTGAGAGCGATTTAATATTTCTTTATTTTAATCCTCATTTGCCAAAGTACAAAAATGGTCATTATACATCTGCGAGAGGACCTAATATTTTACCTTATTTTATTTATTGATTTAATAAGAGTCCCAACAATTCCATTCCCCTTATCAGCACTAGGAAAAAAAAAATCCCATTCCCCATCAAGAAACTTCCCCCCTCCTTCTCCTAAATTTTCGGCCCCTCCTCCCTTTTCCAAATTAATATATATTCCCATTTCTCCCCACAAAATTTACTGGGTTTTCTATTCTTCAACCATACAATAAAAATATGGACGGCGATTGTAGTACCGGCACCGGCCTTCTTCTTGGCCTTGGCCGGAGTGAGCGTAATCCTCTGCGGTCGCTCGTACCCGAAGTGGACGTGAAGAAGAAATTGGTGTTGAAGTTCGATGACATTTTGCCTTGTTTGACGCTTGGGTTGTCGGGCCCCACCCCGGCTGGATTCTCGGTGGCGGAGATCATCGTCGGGAAGACTACGGCCGCCGAGGAGTTGCTACAGCAGGGCTCTTCGGCAAGTCCGGTGTCGTCGTTTTCCAACTCCTCCGGGTCTAAGAGGGACAGATCAGACGGATGGATCGGCGGCGGCGAAGAGAGGGAGGCGGAGGCGGCGGAGATTTATTTGGAGAGGGTGTCTTCGAAAGTTGGTGATCAGGAAGATGAAGATGGAAGTCCGAGGAAGAAACTGAGACTCACTAAAGAACAATCCGCCATTTTAGAAGATAGCTTCAAAGAACACTCAAGTCTTACTCCGGTAAATGTCTCTGTTTTTTTTTTTTCTAATTCTTTGTTCTTAATTATTTTTCTTTTATTTGATATTAATTATCTTTCCAAAAATAACAGAAACAAAAGCTGGATTTGGCTAGGCAATTAAGCCTAAGGCCACGACAAGTGGAAGTATGGTTCCAAAACAGACGAGCCAGGTAAATTTGAGCTAATTGATTTCTCAAATTTTTAATAAAAGGTTTTTTTTTTCATGTAAGATCGAAGGGGGTCGAACAAATAAGACGGTGAAATATCAATATACACTTAAGCTTTTGGGTTAAGTGATAGCTATTCACCACTTACTAAATTTTTTATGTATAATTGTATAACATTTCAATGTAAATTTAGGGGCAAATCAAGGAGAGAATTCTAAAAATTTTCGTTTTTTTATTCAAAATTTTTAAATTTTGACCAATTGAAATGGGTAATTACTCCCTTGGTTAGTTTTAGATTGAGGAAAAAAAGTAAGATTTTAAAACACCCTTCAATTTTATTCTTTATTGTGAAATAATCTGGCGAGGTTTTTAATTATTTCTCATTTTAAAAATACAATTCATTTACGCCAATATTAATTTAAATTCATGCAGAACCAAGCTGAAGCAAACGGAAATGGACTGCGAACTACTGAAAAAATGCTGCGAAAAGCTCAAAGAAGAGAACACGAGGCTTCAGAAAGAGCTTCAAGAGCTTAAATCGTTAAAGTTAACGGCTCCGCCATTTTGTATGCAGCTACAAGCGGCCACCCTCACCGTCTGCCCCTCCTGCGAGAGATCCATTTGCGGCGGCGGAGGCGGCGGCGATGCGTCTCCGACCACCGCCTTCTCCATTGGGTCGAAGCCTACTTTTCTCAAATTCCCCTTTAACCACCCATCCGCGGCTTGTTAGGCAACCTAATTAATTTTTAATTAATTACTAAAATGGCCAGAAGACTGCTATTTTTGCTTAGGGCTTCTGTGTCAATATCGTATATACGAGTCACGAGACTCACGACTAATATATTTATATATGTTACGTTATATATGTACAAATATTTTGGTTATTTTCAACACATGGAAATTAGGCTTTGTAGAAACTAGAAACTGATTTGTTTCTCTTTTCTTTTCTACAACACACATGTACTTGAAGTTTCCATTAATTTTACCTGAGGCTCATCTTAATGTTTTTAATGATTTTATTTTCTCCCGATGAATTATTATGTAAATTATATATCTCTCTTAGTCTCAAAATTTCCATGTAAAAGTAAATTTTGTTCTTCGTCTTCATGTTCTTGTCAGTGATCTTTGAATTACAGATGAACTATTATTTTAATAATAAAATAAAATGTTAATCTAAATATAATTCAACTGGTTAAAATATTTATTTTTGATTAGAATACAGTGAATTTGACTTGTCATCCAACATATTGTATTTAAAATAATAATAGCAATAATGAAATTAAATAGAATTTTAATTGATTAATTAACGCAAAATTTAAGGAGATGAGTTGAACAAAATAATGATTTGGAGGAAAGTGGACATACTTTTTTTTCTTTTTTGGGGTTTTTTAGGCAATTATCGACATGGTGGGCTGTGATTGGAATGAAGGAAATAATATAATACTATTGGTACTGAAACTATATAATTAAGAACAAAGATTTCAGATATTTAATCATAAGCATTATTATATGATTATATAATGTATGTATATTAAATTAAAGCAGGTGGAAATTTGCCGACTTGATTATGTTGTATTTCCCTTGATTGTTAAGTTTGAATTTGACGACAGTTAGCTGTCGGGTTCTTTTGATTATTTTAAAATTGGTCATCATTATTAATTAAATAATTGCATTTTTCCCCCAAAATTGGTCATCAGTATCTTTCTTTTTCTGAAGCTGAATTCCTCTGCTTTATCATCAACCCAACTGCCTTTCCTTTAAGGCAAAGAAATGATGATCAATCTCACATAATTTTCCCTCAGCTTCCCAGAAGGGTCTTCCCATTTTAAGCCAATCTTTTCGATCTCTCTTTATAATTGGGATGTTGAGACCTGCTAGATCTAGTCCAACTTTCGTAGATAAAAATACTAAAGAAGAGATCGAAGCGACCAAGAAATGATACTTGAAGTAGAAAAGAATTGCTCATTAATATAAAATATGAGACGCTTTAAGTTCTAAGTTCATGGCATCATGACACCATAAGTGAGTGCTATGACTCCGTCTTCTCATAAAATAATTGCATTGAACTGGGTCCAGCCAGGGTGCTTTCTAGTGTGGCACTATCCCCTTGGTTCTTCCTCAATTCTTTGTGCTATAAGTGTATCGACACTACTCTCATGGATGCTAAGCGCACACAAATATTTTGTGTAGTAATCTGTATTCACACTTTTTTAGTAAAGCATATGTGAGATGAAAGGATTGAACCGCCGACCTCATGGTGGCATCATCTTTATTCACTTTGACTCTGGTTTTTTTCGAATATATTCCAATGGTGTTCAATTTCCTTTCAATGCGATTCATACGGGCATATAATACTCAAAATGTGCATCAATCTGTCGTGCATAATACGAAAACTAATAAATAATCAAATTATAACTCTAATAAAATATAGTTCACATGGTGTGGAATCAAGTTTTTATCAAATATTTTCTTTAAATTCACCTAAACCAGACAAAAAAAGGCTGGTGTTTAATACTTAATAGAGTGAATAATAATAATAATCAACGATCTATTGTCTATGGGCAATGTGTGATCTATAAAAGTTTTAAGCAAACAATTTATTCCAAGGAGAATTGCTAACCTCTTTAGTAAAGCAGCTGCTGAAATGAGATTTCACTTTTATCCTATACACTAAAACTAGCTACGTTCATTTTTCTTTTATCTCCTTCAAGAACACGTGTCACATCCGACTCTTACTATACTCTAAATTTAGATGGACGATGGACGAGCCTACTTATAACTTTATTGATGAGACCCAAACATAGCTGCATGAATTATTTTTAAAAATTAAAGAAATGTGTTAGATATCCATAAATGAATTAAAATTACCATAACCTATAAGCTTAAGTTTCTGGGTTCATTACCGGTTTTCTTCATATTTGATACTTATATTTAATATTGTATCAAAATAAGAAGTCATGTGTTCGAATCATTTTATTGATTTTTACTTGTTGAGTATTGTGCAATTTTTCCGGCCTACAACCATCCGCTTAAGCTTTTTAGGTTCAAAAGTGATGGTTTAATTTATTCAGGTTTAATAAAATGTTGGTTTAATTTCGATAGAAATGTCCAAATAATTGTGGTTTTCTTGTTATGCGTGAATTTTTAGAGAGGTAGCATAAAGAGAAATGACGATCCAATTAATTAAAAAGTATATATTCAATTTAAAGTTTTTATACAAAATGCATTTACCCACTAATTTTTACCTGACAAGTTTCGGTCTCATATATATAAAATTTGGACTTCTGGTAAGGGGTAGAAAAACCCCATATGATAAGGTTCATTGTACAAATATAAAGTCTTACTTCAAAACGTCTAGCATGGTTTTCATAAATAAATAAATAATCTTTGTTGACTGTGGACTATGGTTACATATATAATATTTCATTATTGTAATTATAATTTATTATTGAGAGAATTTGTTTTTTTGCGTCGGCGGTAAATGGGCAACGTAATTAGTGATGTGATACGACAAAAACAAACATTAGAAAAAATGCTAAAATAAAAAAGGAACAAACATTTGAATTAAGTATTTGGTTACAATATGAAATAGACAACCTTCTATATCTGATTAAGAAATTAAAGCAATCAAATTAGTTAGGCTAAAAAGGGTCACTTACACATAATTATTGATATCTCTTTCTTAAAACTCTTGCATATTGATTGCCAAAATTATAGGATGGATCGAATTTCTAAAACCAAATTTGACCCAAATTAGAATTTATCAGCCCACTTTCATAAAAATTGAATGTTTGTATTTATAAAATTCTAAGCTTATAATAACCCATAAAGCTAAGTCAGTAGTTTGTAAGTTCAATTTTTCAATATTATTGTAGGCAAGAAGAAAAAAACCCATAAAACCAAGTCTTACAACATTATCTACTCATTAAAAGTTTATATTGGTAAAACAGAATTTATTTTATTAAAACACCACAAACAGGCATAAGAATTTAGTTCAATTAGTTAAGCATGCATCACTAATAAAAAGTTGTGTTCGAACTTTACTCCCATGTCCTTTATATTTTAAGAAAACACGATATAAAGATCTTTTACAAATATATCTTTGGAAGATGGTAAGACTGAAATGATCTCACAGTAAGTAAAGGGCGGAAGGGCGGAAGCACATGCACTCCTGAGTTTCCAAATACAAAGCAGATAATTAATATGCTTAACAAATAACAAACACTTTTCTTTCTATTATTATTTCCTCGACACTAATGAAACATAAAAAAACTGAAATAATACTAAAAATTTAAGTTCCAACAAGAACACAAACATTATGAAAATTTTAGAGAAGGAAATTATACGGAAAAGCCGCAAGGAAAAAAAATAAGAATATTGAAAAACATATCAACTACTTTGAGTTATATACTTTCTGATATTGGCAGCTGGATATAATGTAGGGGGAAAAAAAGGAAGATAACTTAACCAAATTATCTCTCAAAACCACACAACATTATTATTTGTCACACTATTAGGTTGGATTATATAAAGAAATTAACCTTCTCCCGTCCATAGCAAATCTGCTGACTGGTTTAGCAACGTTACGGTCACGGTCCGAGCCGATAATGGCCATCGGTCATGTAGTGACCGTCGATATAGAGGGCGGCGTTGGGAGGGTGGAGGCCATCCATCACCATGAACTGCATATCCTCAGAAGGTTTCCAGTGTCTCTTCCTTTGGTTTATGAACCAATTGTTTATTTGCTTCTGATCCAACCCAGTGGATTCAGCCAATGCCACCTTCTCTGTCTCCTGAGTAAAATAACATCATTTAGGCCCCGTTGTAAGTACTTGTTCTCGGTTTTCTGCTCGGTAAATTTTACCTTATAAATATTACTTCTATCTATGTGTTTCTTTGACTTGTAATGAAACGTTTTCAAAATCTCAGTCATAATTCACAATTTTTAAAAACAGAATCGTTACCGAACGGAGTCTAATCACTATGTTTCAAACTCTTTTGTTTCGATCCCAACATATCATTGATAATCAAACTTGTTTCATATTATATGGAAATATAATATTCTTAGTTTGAGGGAATGAGAAACTTACTGAAGGGTATGGCCATTTGTAGTGTAACTCCCACCAATTAAGAAGTTTCTGCCTTGCATCTTTTGGGAGTTTGCCTTTCTTCTTTTTCTTGGAAAGTTCTTGCTTGAGACTGCTCAGGTAGCCACTGTACTTCCTCAGTAGGTGGTTCTTCAGTTCTCTATCCTCGGCACGTGGGTCGATCTCGGGTAGTTCGGTTTCTCCGCCACTATTGTCCTGATCCTCATCAGATGATCCCATACCCTCACATTTTTCGTCTGTAAAGAAGAAAGTGCATGAACTAATTGCTTGTACATGATGCCTAGAAAGTGAAGATCACAACACGAACTCAGATTTTCACAACTAAGTTACGAATTATCAATCACTCATTTGTTGGAAAGAATTATTGAATGTGATTCAAAACAGGACTACCACCTACATCTAATAGTGTAAAACAACCGATAACATTGTTTCAACCTACAAACCACATAAGGTAAAAAGTAGTTGATAAACACAAAACATGAGTCAAATAGAGAAAAGGCATTTCCTCAGCATTGTATAAAAGATACAAGACATCAGTTTATACATAAACATTAAAGATTCAAACAACGTTTATAAATATCTCTAGTTGTTTCCAAATGCTTTCCAATGGTACATCCTACCACTTGTTCTTTCCAAATGCAATCAAAAGTATTTTGGATCGATACGCAACGAAATACTTCGACATATTTAACCGACATTTTCGACTGGCTAAATATGCTATAATCTTAAAGCATTCCCAACCAAAATATTTACCAAGTTAGCAATTAGATCTTCAGAAACCTCTCATCATAACATCGCTCTCAAATTTAAGGTTTGGACATACAAACAAAATGCATATATCTTTCAACCAATCCAAGTCCGAAACAACTAATTAAGATATCGAATAACGGTTCTCTAGCGACAACTCAACCGACAAAAACTAATTAATATAGAAAAATACTCCTCCAGAGTTGAAATCTCCTAATCCCAAATTAACCTCTAAAATTTAAAAATAATAAAAAAAATGCCCAATACTAAATATGGCTCATCAAAATCAAGGCATATATATATTAATAAAATTTCTAATATTCTCTGTGATTGGTTCTAGAAATAGAAGAAGATGCTTCTCGGTACTTTCATATTCCAGAATATTATGCAGCCCGAGTTGATTAATAAAGCAAAATACACACAAAGTTGCAGAACGAATAAATCAGAATATGAAATATCAGTAATCAGTGATAAAATAGACGAACATCAGAATGCATAATTAACAGATACGGACTAATTCTTCAATAGCCGACTTTTTTCACACACACAAAAAAAGCTAATTAATAAATGCAATTGTACATGCATGGTTAATCTGCAAAGCAAAGTTTAATATTTCATAAGCCTTCAATAATCAATTAAAAATAAAAAGAAAAAGAGGGAGAAAAGAAGGAAAAAAATTAAAGAGGGAGAGGAAAAAGGGTTCATTTAGAAGTTCGAAGAATACAGAAGGGAAAATATGACACATTTTACAGATTGTTAATAAAGAAGTAATTTTTTCTTTTTTCTTTTTTCTGACAGGACCGACATGGGGTAGCGTTTGATATGAACAGAATCCTATGTGCGAGCTGAATTTACTTAATTAAGCTTGGATTTCCATCAGTTTAATCTCATAAATAAGGCCCATTTAAGTAAATGCCTAGAACCATAATGCCATCCATCTCGGATTTGTAAACATCACTCCCAAAACCAATAAAAATAATAATAAACCTGCATTTAGTCATAGGGCTTACTAAGCATAATAATTAGGAGAAATTACAGTGTCAGAGATCTGAATACAGCAATTTAAAAGAAAAAAAATACACATTCAGAACCAAACGTGGGCGTATCATGATTTGTTTTATTACACCCCATTATAAATATCAGTGCGCTCTGTCTTCAATATCATATTATAAAATTGAAAAAATGAAAAGAAAAATCCGTGGTGGGTTACGGACTGTTTGGCTCGTGATTAGGGTTACATATTTACATTTAATTCGAGTTCTTTTTTTTTTTCGGAGAATCAACTAAAAACCCATATCAGAAATCGAGTTAAATAATTAAATCCATGACCTTTTTCAGAAGAATTTTCAAAGTTGGAAGAAAAATTACCGGAATTGAAGATCCGAACGGGGCCGTTACAGAGGGAACCGAGCTGAGATTCGATCCTTCTCATGAAATCCATGGCTTCTTGAATTGGCCTCGTAAGTTCCTCCCGATATTTCACCAACATGTCGTAGTAAGCTTCCTATTTCCCAATCCCAACTCAAATTATTAATTAATTAGCCAAAAAAAACTTGATTTAAAGCTTAATTTGTCACACCATGAATTGATCAAGTTCTGGATCCTTCGTGATCTCTCCCGCCACCATAGAAGATCGCTGCCGAGCCTCAAATTCTTGCCGCACCGCCGCCAGCCGCTCCACCACTTGCGCCGGAGCACCCACCTAAAAAAGGAAAAAAAAAAAGGATTCTTTTTTTTTTCCTTTGCAAACTGAAAATGAATGCTGGAGAGTAGGGGCCCGTTTGTAATTTTATGGGAAATCGTATTTTCCTTTAATTAAATTACCTTCTGACATTCCATGTAGGCTTCGAGGAGGCTGGAGTATTGAGGGTGAGCAACGATTTTGGCCTTAATGGCTTCAACGTCGACAACGGCGTTGTCGTCGGGACGACATGTCGTCGGCTGCCCTCCTCTAATCAAAGGGTAGTGGAATTTGAGGACTTGGTGCTGCGAAGTACTGGCTTCGGTCTTCACAATCGGGTGCGATTGGTCGGTTTGGAAACAGTCGGTTCCCGGTTGAAGATGGAACGTATTAACACCCATCTGAGCCGTCTGAGCCGTCGGATTCGTGGATCTCCCATAATTACCCGGTGAAGAATTCGCCGCAACAACCGGTGACGCGTACAAGAAATTTCCTCTCGGATTTGAGTTCTCGTTTAGGTGATTATATTCCTCCATTTTTCCCTTTTTTTTCCTTCGGGAAAGTCGGTCACTAGTTCTTCAAAGCCCTAAAAGCAAACCCTAGTCGTCCACCACCGGCGCCAGGTGGCCAAGAAACTCCGGAGAAGGCCGGGAATGGGCTGCTCTCCATGATCAGGGCGAGGGCATTCTGTTTTCATATATGGGTCATGAAAATATGAATTAATTGAAAAAATTAAAGGAAAAAAAAAGGGAAAATTTTTTTGGAAGCGCTTTTAGAAGAATCAGATTTTAGGGAGGGCTTGATGAGAATCTGGTGCATGGAAAAGGCATGGCCTTGAAAGAAGAAGAAGAAGAAGAAGAAGAGAGTTTCGGATTTCACGTGGAGATTGGAAAAGGGAAAACGAGAAATTGGTCTCTGGTTTTTTTTGCTTGGGTGTAGTGTAGTGTTGTGTAGGTGGTAGTTGACAAGTCTTTCTTTCCTGAAACTTTAAAAAATTCAAAATTGAAAAAAATAAAATAAAATAATTGACAATTTTGCAAAAAGAAAAATGACAAGCAATTAGGGCGACTATTATTGATTTGAAACATTTTTTTAATTTATCTGTAATCCTTCAATCAATTCATCGTTTTGTTGGAATTACTAAATTGGGTATCCTTTCTAATAGAATGTGTATATATATAATGACACTACACAAGTACATTTAATTAAAGCAATTTCTATTTTTATTTGTAACTTATTTGAGTAAATGTTCAAATTCCAACATACATTATTAAATGTCCCATATATGTTATGGAGAACAGTATTTTAGCACAGAAGACTGTTGAACAGCAAATACATTACCCTTTTAGAATCAATCCTACGATATATAGGCTTTTGAGTTTGTTTCATTTTTTTTAATTATTTTTATTTGTATTCTTATTTTTGCTTTCTTTTTTGGGAAAGAGAATGAAATATTGTTTTCGGTATCACTTTCCTTGACCAACCAGTACATAGAGAGAGAGTTTCCCTAAATTAATGTAATTCTGATGCATGTATCCAATAGGTCGGTTTTATTAAATAATTTGCAGAATTTGTGTTTGACACTATTAATTTTTATTTATTATATTAAATCTGCCTGGGAATTAGCATTTTGATTTAACTAGGTCAATTATAAAGAAAGGGCATGGCTTTTTATTATTCGTGATACATCTTTTCAGAAGTACTAACTAAATCAATTCGTCAATTTCAGAGATATTACCTCTCAATTAAAAAATCGCGTTGTTAAAGAAACATTCTTTGTTGTGAGAATATAATACTTTCTTAAACAATAATACAATATTTTATTATGTGTAACTAATCTTGGGTTTGGACTTATATAACCTATATGTTTATTTGTGGGGTTTGTAAAGTTAGTATATATATATATATATATTATATGTTTGCGTTTATTAAGTAAGAGATAAATTATTTAATAGATTGATTATAGATTTGCCAACACCCCTTTTTTAGTTGGATTCTAAAAGAATATTCATATGCTAGGGTTGAGCATCAGTCGGTCAAGGTCGGTTTTTGTTCGACTCGAACACCGAAAACTAATGGTTTACATGCAGAATTGGCATCGAACCCATCGGTCAGTTAGTTTATGAAAAAACTGACAATGCTGTTTTTTTCAATTCCATTTTTTAATTCATTCCCTTCTTTTTCACCATTTCTATTCAATTTCTCTTGTATATACTGTTTTTATTAGACCATGTAATGAGGGGTAAGGGTTTCAAACCTAATGTCTAAAAACATAACAACAAAACTAAAAATAAATTTAGTAGGTATATTATTATCAAAACCGACTGACATTGATTCAGTCGGTTATAGTCGATCAGATCGATTTTTCGAATTTCTTTACTCACCCTTATCATGTACTACTATAACTTGCAACTCAAATTCTCACGCACTATCAAATGAAGGCTAAACACAAACGTTTAAGTAGATGAAGTTGCTTTCAGGGTGGTTGTACTTATTTTTCATTCAATATATATAGATCCCCATTTGATAAAAATACTTATCTTGGAAAAAACAATATTATTTTCTAATATTTCTTTGCTTAGTTGTTTACCATGTTAACATCCAAGGGCGGACCCAAGAAGAAAATGAGAAAGAAAGTTCCTCCTCTTGGTTTCATCTTTAATTGAAAAAATTATATATAAAATAATAAAGCGAGCGATTTTAAAGTTTTCTTTTCAATTTGTACATCAGGTAAAATTTTGTGAACATATATTTTTTGGGTGAGAAATTATTAGTAACAATGATGACGCACAAGAAGAAAAAATGAAATGATTGATGATTCAACATTATTTAATCAAGTTGGAATCTTGTGCTTGTGTATGGTTGAATTTTGATAAGTAAATTATTAAGTAGAGAAGGTAGTCAAAGGCATAATCCATTAGTTTATTGGAAATATAAAGATTTTGTCTCACTAATGAAGGCCAGAGATCCTTATCACCAAAGTCCCAAATTTTCAACAACTCTGAAAGGKCAATAACTATAACAAAAACTGCAAAAACAGTGGGGGACTCCTAATGACAGAAAGAATAAGCTGGTACTTGGATCCCCGTTTTCCATCATTTCCACCATTCAAATCTCTTACTTTCTCCCCTCTCTCTTAATTTCCTTTTTTATATATATAAAAAAAAACATATTTCCCATAATGGGGTTTTGAAACTTTGGTATCCAAGGTACTTTGAAGAAATATTGAAATGTTTATAATTTATACTTTTGGTCACGTGGATGCTTTCTTAACTTGGATTTTTTAGTATTAGAACAATTTTTAATCCATTTAAATTTAATATGGTGCTAGATTTTCTGGATTCCATCTCACAATCAATTGGTTCAAATAGAAGTAGTTCATATCTATGGTAGATTATTGTTATGTCACTTATCTTTATTGGATTCTTAACCTGCCTCTCAAGACCTATTTTTGGATCGAATGATCAATCGAGCATTTATACCATATCAATATTAATAGAGTTTCGTCCCAAAATCAATTAGCTGTGAGAATAATAGTACATGTCTATTATAAACTTTGGTAGGTCTCTTATTTTATTATTATTTTTTGTTCGATTTTATTATGTTTGGAAGTTGATCATCTAGCAAGAATGACATATGACATATACATAAGACATTGTGGTATCATCTATCATGAAGTATTGTCTTCGAACTCTGTGCAGGTCATAATGCGGTAAAAGATACACAATAATACCAACCTTAATATATTTCGGATAAAAAAGTATATATTTATATATATGTGTGTGGGCGCCGTATCTAAAAATCGTTTGAAATAGTCTAAATTAATTTTTTTTAATCAATTAATTATTATTATTTTTTTTTTTAAGGGAAGTACTCCAACCAAACTGAAGTAAAAAATCCAAACACTCAGCAGCCAACGCACCCGAAGCTCCTGCCGACCATTCCTCCATCCAGACTACCCTTTCCTGATGTACYGATGCCCTTCGCACCAAGATATGAGCTATCACATTTCCGTCTCTCTTCGTTAATCTGTAAGTTGCATGTAAATTTTCTGAGAATTTTAACTTGGCAAATTGGATAATTAAACCTGTTTATAATTTATACTTTATTTAATTTAAACATGTCACGTCATTCTTTGTTTAATTTTTTTTTTCCTTGATATATATATATAGCATGTACCTAGCTATAAATATAATCCTAGCATCTACAAATTTTAGAGATTTAATTTGTTTGGGAATCACGTGAGGATAGTTTGGTCCGCCGGCGGCCCCCTGATCGCCGACTAAATCCTTAGAAACAGCAATGAAATAAAACAAAAATTTTTGACTAAAGTCAATCTCCATTCAATTCGATTCTACTGGTTTTTAGGCTGCGTGTCTCTCCAAATTAATCATTAAGTACAATCATAAGGTTTACTCCCACTTTTATTTATTTATTATCATTATCATTATTATTATTATTTGCCTTTTTGAAATACCCTCAAGATATTTTAATTTAATAAAGAACACGATCCAATTAATTAAATAAAAGATACATTTCTCCCTCTAACCACTTTCCTCTCTCTCCTCAAGAAATTCAGATAATCTTTGTTAAATCTCTCCTAACCATAATTTTAAATATCCGTCGACGACAAGCATGTCCATCTATTTATAAATTCGATATTGACGTGAGGGAGTAAATCGACATTTTACATTATATTATAAAAACATCAACAAATTAAAAAAAATGAAAATATCAACAAATGTCACTAATATATACATAATATTAATATTAATCATTTTTAACTTATTTAGATATAGAAAAATGTTTATTTGTTAATTTAACCATTTTTAAATTTTTATAACTTTTACAGAAATATCCATCGACATCGACATTTTATAAAATTGGGACATTGACATTTAAAACCTTATTCCCAACATYTTAAAGTTAAGCTTTTGAACATGTTTTGGAAAGATTTTCTTGATATTAGTAGGTCACGTCTCATAATCAATACCTTATTAATTCTCTCAATCTTTTTTATATGGAATCTTTAACGTTTAACAGAATAATAACATTCATATCAAAACTTATGCTGGGTAACTACACAGACTAAATGTTGAGAAATGTTAAAAAAAAAAAACCAATATATTTGGTTGAAGTCAAAAGTAAGGCAAAAGGGAGTTGAAGGCACAGTACCATTCAATACTAAATTGAAAGTAAACAAATAAACATAAATAATTATGGAGGGTAAAGTAGTAATAGAAGCATGGATGTATATGATAAAGGGAATTAATAAATTAGAATGGGGAAGGGTAAAAGAGGAGTGTATGGGAAATGTGAGAAGGATGATATATAAACAGTGAAGAGTGTAGAAAGCAGGAGCACGTGCATGAAAGGCCAAAGCGAGAAGGGAGGGGGCCGATGGGAGAGGGGAAAGGCCACAAATTCGGCTGCTTCGGGTTTTAGTTTGGGAACCAGGAATAGGCTCAGCCTCAGCGCCCCCACCACAAATGGGGGTGTCTTCTGGGGGCCACCATTGCCTTCACCAGGTGCTCGCTCAGCTGGTTGGTTCTTTTTTTGTACAATAACATATACGAGAGGATCAAAATTTGAACCCACAATTTTTTAGTTCAAGATGTTTACTTGAACAAATTGAGTTGTGTTTAACCTCRAAACTAAAGTTTAGACTGATGGATTATGGGGAGGAAAGTACATCTCARGGTTCTAACACAAGACTTTTCTATMARTGRATTCTCAAAACTAATTATTATAAGAGGAGTAGTTCGTGTATATTTTAAACCATACTTAGATCCCTTGTTTTTTCAATGTCAAATCCTTAACATAACCCTTAAGGTGGTTGCTATTTTCAGGCTCACCAGTCATATATGGATTTTTTTTATTTTTTTTATTTTTTGGTATTGAAGGTTTGTTTGATATAGTATTAGAGCTCAACAAGCTCAAATGAGCAC